TAAGGCGAGACTTTTTCTCTAGCTCTATCAGTTCCAGCTTTCCAATGGAGACAGGGCAGGACACAGTAAAGGTAGACACCTGGAATAATGACAGAAATGGTGTGAAAACAGTTTTACAAGAGTTGAACATAGGAGGAACATAGGAAGGTGGATAAAATAAAACTTGTGCAATGTGCACAATATGTGCACTACATAAAATAAACCTTTTTTTGAGGCTCACTGTGGGGATTTTGTGTTGCATCACGTTTGTGGCTGGAGGTTGATTTGAAGAGCAGCCTATATTCTGTTTTTGCTAGTGGCAGAACCAGGAAGTTTTCACAGGGGTGGCCACTAATACCCTTTTTCCATCAAGTAAAGCCATGCCACGCCAAATATTTGTTTATATTGTCAGTTTAGACGCACCGTGACACGCCAAGCTGTGCTGGAGACGGATCTTCTGTGGAGTAGGGCCAAAAGCCCGCCCTCAAGCGGGTAGTGGTGACGTCTCGCCGACCGCAGCCAACGCCCCTACAACCCCTCCCCCCAAACAAGTGTGTCTGTTGCCAGACTCTACTCACCTCTGTCTGCAGGAGTTTTTAAAAGTTTCTGTGTGTGTTCAGCTCTCAGTATATTTGTAGCATCCAACTGAATCTCTGTGGTTTGTAGTTTAGTTTCTCTCCTCCATCCTGTTTTTACTTTAGATATCTGCTTTATTTTATTGTTTTAGTTTAGCAAATACTGATTTATTTTTACCTCTAGAGCCCCGAATGTGATGCTGCATTTCAGGGCCTCAAGAAGAGCTTCACCTCCGCCCCTGTTCTCATCCTCCCGGACCCCAGCCAGCAGTTCGTGGTGAAGGTAGACGCTTCTGACGTCGGAGTTGGAGCGGTCCTCTCACAAGTCAATTCCAAGGATGGTAAGCTGCCACCATTCCCCCGGAGTGTCCTGACGGCAAGCTTTTTGTGGTTCAGCCCCTCAGGGGGGAGGTGATTCATTGGGCTCACACTAATAAGACTGTCTGTCACCCTGGTATCAATAAGACATTTGTGGTGCAACAATGTTTTTGGTGGCCTAAGATGGCTCAAGATGTTACTGATTATGTCAATGCTTGCTCTGTGTGTGCCAGTAATAAGGTTTCTCACCAGAAGCCCTCAGGAGAACTCAGGCCCTTGCCCATCCTCAACGCCCCTGGTCCCACATCTCCATGGACTTCGTCACGGGGCTACCCCCCTCTAACGGTAACACTGTGGTTCTGACTGTAGTTGACAGGCTGTCTAAGATGGTACATTTTATTGCTCTTCCCAAACTTCCCTCAGCTGAGGAAACGGCTGAGGCCATGATGTTTAAGGTTTTTCGGATTCATGGCTTCCCCAAAGACATTGTTTCTGACCGTGGCCCTCAGTTTATCTCTCGGTTCTGGAAGGAGTTCTGCAGCCTGCTTGGGGCCACTGTCAGCCTTTCTTCCTGTTTCCATCCACAGACCAATGGGCAGTCTGAGCTCCTCAACCAGGAGTTGGAAACCGGTCTTCGCATCACCGCGTCCCAGAACCCTGACACCTGGTCACAGAAACTGGTTTGGGTCGAGTTTGCCCACAACACTCTCCCATCTGCCTCCACTGGTTTATCCCCATTTCATATTGTTCATGGTCATCAACCCTCTCTTTTCCCCACCATAGACTCGGAGTCCTCGGTACCCTCCGCATTGGCCTTGGTGAGACGCTGTAGGAGAACGTGGGAGCGAGCCCGCCAGAACCTCCAATGGCAGTCCAACATCTACAAGGCAGCCGCGGACCATAAGAGGACACCCGCTCCACGCTACAGAAACGGCCAGAGGGTGTGGTTATCCACCAGGAACCTGCCACTTCGGGTGGAGTCCAAGAAGCTCGCTCCCAGGTTTGTCGGCCCATTCCCCATCGCCAAGGTCATCAATCCGGTCACAGTCCAGCTGAAACTCCCAAGGTCAATGCGGGTCCACCCCACATTTCATGTCAGTCATGTCAAGCCTGTCAGAACTAGTCCGCTCGTCCCTCCTACCAGACCCCCTCCGCCTGCCCGGTTCATTGATGGTGAACCGGTGTTCACCATCCGGAAGCTCCTGTCTGCTCGCCGTCGGGGCCGGGGGGTCCAGTACCACGTTGACTGGGAGGGCTATGGGCCTGAGGAACGTTCTTGGATTCCGTCGAGATTCGTCATGGACCCCTCCCTCATTCGGGACTTCCATGCCACCCACCCTGATGCGCCTGGGCCTTCAGGAGCCGGCCCTTAAGGGGGGGTACTGTCATGTTCCACTGTTTGTTAAGTATTTTATTTTCTCCCTCATGTTTCATGTCTTGTCTTCCTGTTTTATTTTGTGATCACTCACCTCTGTCTCTGTTCCAGGTTCCTGTCTGCCCTGCCCCCTCCCCGTCTGTGTGCACCTGATCCCTGATTGTGTCTCCCGCACCTGTGTCTAATCACTCCCCATCAGCCCTGCATATATTCCCTTGTGTGTCTTGTCTCGTTGCCAGTTCGTCGATGCTCTCTGCTCACATTCCAGCGTTTCTCTCAGTCATAGTCATAGTCATAGTCATAGTGTGTTTGATCCTTGCCTGTTTTTTGACCTTGCCTTTTTGCCTCACGTCTTGGATACCTCTGCCTGGTTTGTACTGCTTCCTTGTGTATTGACCGCTGCCTGGAATAAATCTTGTTTTACTGTGTGAAACCGGAGTCATGCATTTGTTCATGACAAAAATTAACTCAGCAACAAACCTTGAAATATGTATTTAGTCATTAGGGCTGAAAATGTGTTACTGATTTACTGTACTTCCTTTATATCATATAAAAAAAATGAATTCCCAAAGTTATGTCTTTTACTCCTCCCCTATAGCCCATGACTGTCGAAGAGGCAGAGGTGCAGAAAAAACTTGGGATGGCACACTAAAACCTATCTCATAATCTTATATAGATAGAACTTGCTAAGCATGTTATAAATTTAAACCCAGAGTGTGATATTTCAGACTTACGGCTCCATGGGTGAAGGATAAATCCCCTACTAAGCTTGCCAGCCGCTTGCGTTTACTTTCGCCATCATTTCCTACCAGTTTAATGAAGACCATGTCAAGAGTGCCGGCAAAGCGGAGCTTGCCAGTGTATACGGTCACTTCATAATCCGCCATTTTCACTCTGGAATAATAAGAGAATAATAATGAGAAAGCATTCCTTTATAAATGTTTTTTTTTAACTCTGCTGTTATTTTAAAATAATACACACACGTGCACAAACAGGACCTACACACATTCATTAATGGAGAGATGTCAGAGCCAGGTTGGAGGTGAACTTGCACCTCTCCAGCTGAGCTACTGCAACCCTAACCATTCTCACCACTGAGTAGGTTAACTGTCACTAGACGAGACTGAGTGCAAAAAATAAATACTGGCATCACAATGAAAATAGCATTAGTAAAAAGTAGCTTACAATATCTAATATCATATTTGTTTTCTCTCACCAATCTATTTCAGTCTAGTAATTGCTAACTGGAAAAAAAATAGAAAGCATTTCTCACTTGTTTATGAGACCAAGAAGCTCCTTTGGTGAAGTTGATCACCGATTCCTCTATTTATACATACGGTTTTGTGGGAGTGTCTAATGACTTAAAGGAAATAGTCAGCCCTGCTGATGAAATATTGGACATGTATGACCACTTACTGCGCATGCAAAACAACAGAATCACCATGCAAATAATGACAAACCAGCTTAAGTGTGAGACCATCACAGATGACTAAAAATATTAATTCTGATGACATGTGTTAACAACAACAGAAAAAATGTTCACCTGCACAGTTTATCCAGATTGTTCAGATAGTTAACAACTGCAACATGATAGTAAACAGTTTCTATTACATGGAAAATAATTACAGTAGAATATTGTGGAGTTAGGGCGGCACGGTGGTGTGGTGGTTAGCACTGTCGCCTCACAGCAATAGGGTTGCTGGTTCGATCCCGGGCGTGGGAGCCCTTCTGTGCGGAGTTTGCATGTTCTCCCTGTGTCAGCGTGGGTTCTCTCCGGGCACTCCGGCTTCCTCCCACAGTCCAAAGACATGCAGATTGGGGACTAGGTTAACTGATAACTCCAAATTGGCCATAGGTGTGAATGTGAGCGTGAATGGTTGTCTGTCTCTATGTGTCAGCCCTGCGATAGTCTGGCGTCCTGTCCAGGGTGTACCCTGCCTCTCGCCCATGTCAGCTGGGATAGACTCCAGCCCCCCCGCGACCCTCAAGAGGATGAAGTGGTTAGAAGATGAATGAATGAATATTGTGGAGTTGGCAGCACTAGCTGTCATACGTGCATGTAGTATGATGGAGTGTCACAGAGAAACTGACTCAGTATTTTGCAAAAAAGATCAAAACTCGAAAGGTTCAATAGAGTTACACGTATCAACTCAAAGAAGAATCACAATTTCTGAGGAAGAGGTGCGGCCATGGATGAATGCCATCACCCAACCATTTCTTATTCAGCTCTGGCTGA